AGTTACTTAATTTCGTGCAAGTCTGTAATCTTAAATTAGCTGTATATCGACAAGTCATACTCAGAATCAGATTTCCTGATAGTTTTGAAAAAATCCATAAAATCCGAAAGCTGTGCGCTGATTGTGGGAAATGCCATATCTGCTAATCGTTTCTTCTAATTTTCTTAATTTTTGTAGAATTTCGACCAGTACTACGGCATCGATCGGCATCGATTATGGGCTGAGCCAGAAAATCATCGTATCCAGCATTTCTCAAACGATTCCTACTTTGTTTGTTTGCCCGGCAAATCTGCCAACGGCGAAATATTTACTCAAGTTGCTCGTGTAACTGTGCCGGTATGTATATATTAGAACTGGATTTTATCTTATGATTTTCGAAGTGATGAGGAATTTTCGACGAATGATGAAAGATGAAAGTGTGGGAAAGTGAGGCGATGACGAAAAATTACCAGAGTGACCACTGACTGACCTCCACTTGAAAAAATTTCTTTAAATTTCAGAGGAATCTCACCAATGGCCGCGCAGTACTTATCACATCGGGTAACTACGATGTAACATCAATCAATGGTTACAATCCGAAAACCGGGCTGGTGTAAGCAGTATAGTTCATAAATTTGCAATTGCCAAGTTTCTCTTGCAAGTAAATCGTGCATTTTTCTTATCACCACAAATATTTGAAAAAAAGGCCAAAACTGTCCGAAGTGTGAAAGACGAAGAAGAAGAGATGAAAAAGTAGGCAAAATTAAGAGGAGGATTGCTGCATCTGGCTGGAGAATCGAGAATTTTTCTTGTCTCCAGAAAATTTGAGGCACCGTTTTCTACCGTCGTTAGCAAAATCGCCTGGGCAGCAGCCGGTACGATTATCATCACTGATGTTACTAGGACGCTCCCACATACTCAGCTCAGCTGATTTTAAAAACCCTTTGATGCTGAACTGCGTAATCCCAGTTCGTACCCTGGTGCGCTTATGGAGCCACTGAAGCAGGAAGAAATAATGCTTTTTGTCCCCGGTCGATCTCGTTGCAGAGGTATCGGTGCTTATGGGAAGAAACAGCCTAACATGGCTGTGCACCAGTTTCCTATTAATTAATTACATCGCGGATTTTTTAGATATTTTATGGCCGCATCGCCATTGCCCTCTCAAAGACATCTCTACGCAACATCACATCATGCGGTAATTTTTGATGACTGATAACCGGCCCAAAGCACTTTTTTTCTGATAATTAATAGTTGCGGGACAGCTTGCAGCTGCAACAGAAAAATTTCAGGCCAAAATTGACAGTCCAGCAAAATGCGTTACGTGTGGCGTCGCGCCGGAATGCACATTCCAGGATGTGATGTTCTCCAGAGATGCTGACCAGTATATCTTGAGCTGTCGAGGGCCCGGGGTACCACGAGCTTTTCTCTCATCGATCTCTTCGAACAATTCGTTAAGTAATTTTCTACTGTGATTCCATCCATAGTGGTCTGTTAATTAAATAAGGAGATTTCGAGGGAGAAGAATGGCTTCTTCTTTTCCTGTCTTGTCTCTTGCTGAGTCCCTGTAGCTTCCAGAAACCAATGAACTGCATACAAAAAACTAAGGCCAATAATAATAACAGTGAAATATTTGAAAAAATTACAGCGGAAGAGTTGACGGACTGGAAGAAACTGGAACAAAAGTATAACGAAAAAGCACTGGCAACAGCGAGGTACGAAAATGTTACCCTCTCCAGCGGATATGGTAAGCACTGTTATCACCCAGAAAGCCGGTTTTTTTGGCGGGCTGTCATTGTTCGAAAGTTTTTTTTTATTTTTTTTAAATGAAAAAAAACTTGTGGCCTGGCCTGTGAAGAGCTGAGCTGGCACACATTTATTCAACAGACGGTAACTACCAACTGGACCTATGTAGCGCAGAATCGAAGAGTTTGGCATAACTGCACCCGTCGTGAGGATACATCCCAGTAGTACAACTGGTATGGTTACGCCCACACACAAACACACACACAGACAACACCGTGACAATATGCGTTTTGTAACGCTGTTACACAGCACAAAACGCATAAAAACCGTGCGGGCGCCGGAAAAAGGGCAAGAAAATAGAGGAGCAGCGGACGGATCTGGGTTGGGTAGAGATTTCACATAGCGGAGCTGGGAATTAATTTTTACAAATTTTGCAGTTGCAAAGGTAAAAATGTTGCTGCCACCGGGCTTTGATCAGGGATCATTGGATGCGAGATTTCCAGTAATTGTTTCTGTGTAAGTCATTTAATCCTTGTCTTCTGTTTGCCTTGTAGTTTCGGATACGATATTTCATCATAGGAGCTTGTGTTTCCCAAAACATACGTACCAGTGACATCACGGAAACCAGTGCCTTACCAAATGCATATCCCCAGACAATCGTGATGCTGTTTATCACTTTAAAAGATGAAACGAACGTCAAAACTGCCAATAACCAGCCAGTGCAGGATTGCCAGTATTAGTAAAATTGACAGCTGCATAACTGGAGGCCTAATCCCAGTATTAAATCTTCGTTCCTTCTGCTTCTGTCGTCTTTCTCTTTTCTTTCCCTCCTCTTTTAAACATTGCAACCGTCATACTCACGAGGACCTGTCACAGTGTTGAGTTAAGGCGCATATGACTTAATGGGCCGGTACGTCTTATCTCATTCTTATTTCCTTCGCTCACATTGTTAGCTATCGCGCTTTCACCATTTAGGCTTCCAGGATCAACCCAGTTGCCACAATCTGCTTATAGATAATTCAAGTACCCAACAGGCGAATCGGGTAGTTGCGGGAAATACTCCTGTCCTAGCTACT